GCGCATTGACAGTTTCATGCCAAAAGGCTAAAAGCTCGCCAGCTGAAACCAGGTCTACTGTCAGCTCAGGTGGAGCGCAGTCGGAGCGCAGCCGGTGTAAGCCGAAGTTTTGTTGACCTGCGGACAGTGCGCACATGTCACCAAAACCTCACAGGCAGGTTTCCAGAATGTCAGGCACATTAACAATGCAATAAATACCCCAAAAAAACACTATTCAATGCAACTATCTGCAATCAGCACATAAATGTATCTGCTCTCTTCTGCCATGGCGAATTGAGTAAACTCTCATTAGGCCTTTGCGCGGCGCATTTAAGGGTGAGGAGAGGGGCTCATTTGATTGGTGTGATGTGTGTAAAACCCACTCCACGCCTTCTCTCCTCCCTCTTTCCGACTTGCGCAGGTAGGAGGGATGGAGGTGGGATAGAGGAGTAGCTGCGCTAGGCGCACAGTGTGCCAAACTTGCAAAATCCGCCTGGCCACACACAGCTGGCGAAGCGCAGGTGCGCTGTGCCCCCGCCTCGCCTGGTCTCCGAAACTAGAGCCCTGAATATCACAAGCCAATCAAGTCTTGTAAAAAAAAGTCCTAATTCTTCATAAACATACAAACCCTGCCTGTGTGGCTTAGCATAGCACCATTAGACAAAGGCCTCCCTACATTTTATTGATCTTTTGTGATTTAAAGGGACACTCCAGTTATTTGATATTACATTTCCATAAACAGCAGCAGAGGCTCATATCCTTACTTTTTATCCCTAATATAGCTCAAGCTCCAAAAACATCAATCGTGACAACAGAGCTTGAACCCGAAGAACAAACCAGCACTAACTCAGTAGGGTTCTTCCCTTCAGGGCTTGAACCCTAAAAATCCCACAATATCATTTATTTCATATTTCAGTTTTTAACAGCGTTTTCACTTTCTCAGAAAATAATGCATAAAACAAACAAACAAACAAAAAAAAAAAACGATTCATGCCAGGTTCAGAGTACACAACATCTCTTCTGACAGTCAGTATGTCTGAATAGGCCATTGTGGAGTCATAAAATCTTGCGTTACTTGACCAACAGACATCACAGACTACATACTGGTCCATGACCAATCATCTTTTTGTATTGTTATTATAATTACTATTATTAATTCACTCACTGTGGCTGTTCATGTCCCAGACAAACTGTTATTGTATTAATGTAATGAGCACCACCAGATAGTAGGAGTCAAGTCACTGAATCCTCCACAACAACTTCCTGCAAATGTTTCGCAATAAAGGCCTTTTGTAGAATATGAAGGGATTCTCTCCGCCGCAATGATAAGAGGCTTTTAATTTTGAAATGGCTGCATCATGCATTAAATTTAACAGGACAAACAGGAGCAGATAACAACGAAAAATAGAGGGAATGAGAAAAAATATAGGCCTGTGCTTAATGTTGTTTGTTTCAAATGAAGCTGGCACCCTCTGTAGTTGTGTTAAGTAAAGACCCAGCCCCTATTTGTAAATTGTATTCCTTTATATCCTTCTCCAGTATGAAGAACATTTTCTGCTAGCTTGATGCTAATTGCAGAATTGACCAGGTTGCTCAAGTGCCTCTGCTGTTTCATGCCAGCATTTTTCTTTTTGCATTCTGTCGTGGTAGTGCTTAGCAAAAATATCAGAAAGGTTGTGGTGTTATCATACAGTTGTCTGCGCAGCAGATCACTCTGTGTTCATATGAGTCAAAGTGATGGTAAAAAACAAATAAATAAAATTAAGCATGCTAGTCTTTTTAAAAAAATGTTGCGAGGCATCCCTGACGCAGCGTTGTCATCTGCTATGACACACTACACGGGATAAAACGACTGATTAACACGCATGACACTCACTGTCGTTCATGATCCGAGCCGACACTGTAGGACGGCTGCGTTGGGCTATAATTGTACCGATACCTTGTAGTCGGAACTAGGCTTGTGCCGGTTTGAAAATTTTACAGCCCATTTGATTTAAAGCCAAATATCTAACCGAACCAATAGATCGAATTATATATCTAATTTTACCACTGGGGGTCGCATTTGAGCTATTTTTCCCAATAAAAGCCCATTATAGGTGTGATGCGCTTCCAATCCACTAGGTGGCGGTGATGCTGTATTAACCGCCAATACGCAAGGTTACACAAGAAGAAGAAGAAGCAGGACACCAAGGGTCTGTTCGAAACCGCATACTTACCTACTACTCATACTAACTCTTTGAGTATGTAGTGTGTTTACACTGCGCAGTATGCGATTTTGAGTATGCGAGAAGTTCCCGGATGCATACTAGATTCGCCAGAAATATTGAGTATACATCATGAGCTTACTACTCACACTCAAATTACCCAAGATGCAATTTAACGTGACGTCATCGATCGTCACTTCCTTGCCGTGAACAGGACAAAAGAAAAAAGAAGAAGAAGTTATTTATTTATTTATATTTATTACTACTGTATATTATAACTTATGAAACTTTATGAAATCATTCAATTCACAACGACTTTGTTGTTCAATGATGTACATTTTTCCCTCCATTTTTCAGGCTTTGAGGTATGTTATATTGCGTTGTATATTATGATTAGATTTATAGTTGATTAAAAAGGAAACTTACATCTGAGAACAATCCCAAGTTGATTGCGAGCATGATGTACCAAAGACGGCGGGCTGATCTTCGTCTCAGAGCTGACAAGACTCTCCGGTGAGGCATTTTGAACGGTCAAATTCCGTTAACGGGACGAGATCGGTCAAAACGGCGGTTTCAAGCTAGCTACATCAAGGGTAGGTTCGCCTCTCGTTTTCAAAGTAAAAGCACAAATTTTATCATTATGGTTTTCTTGATAAGAAAGGGCAACGGGTGTTTTATTTTGTGAAAATAACCGGAAGTGCGTTGCTCACTACGGCTAGCTTGAGTAGCGCCGAAATCTCCGAAATCGTCCGAACAAAATTGTAAACAGCTGGTATTTGGTTAGATTTTCAACACATTGTGGATCTAAACAGCTACTTTCTCGCCTAAAAATTTTTCAAATGTTGCTAAAGTTATATATTTACAGAGTTTAGAGCTTAAGCGAAATCAGCTTAAGGCCGGCTGATTTCGGCTCGGGCAGGAGCGAAATGCATTGTGGGTTATCATGTAGTATGCTACAGTGTAAACGGTCTGCATACTGTCTGTTGATTGAGTATGTAGTATGTAGTATGGCAGTATGTAGTATGTAGTATGCGGTTTCGAACACAGCACAAGACATTAGGGCAAAGACGGTGGATAAACCAGTTATAATAGTAGTAATAGTACAGTATAGAATACTGTATAGTACAGTAGTAATCCAGTATCTTTGGTTAGGGCAACAAACTGAATGACTGCTGACTCCCTCGCACTTTTCCCCGCCCCTAATGAAATTTGATCTCTCGCAGCAGCAGCAGCAAACAGCTGAGCGGAGCTGCTGAGTCCCTCTGCAGCCTCTGAGACAAACTAAACAAAACACTTGTAGGCTCCTCCACTTTATTTATAAACAAACATAAACCTTATTAAGTTGTCATAATACATGTTACAATGCAATGCGGACCAAACCAGTTAAACTGGAAATCGGCACAAGCCTAGTCTGAACCCGGCATTACTTAATGCATTGAGTTACAGAGGCTAGTGAAACAGCAGCCAGCTCACGTGTGAAATTGGAGTTTGACTTAACCATTACAGGATGACAATATGACATATTTAAATGATTGTGATTGTTGCCTCTGTTTCTTTTAAGTTGTGCAGCACCCTAGAGGGTCAGTGGTAACACAGCAAAAACACAGTGTCCAATTTTACATTTACCCTAACCTGGTCAACCTCAACATAGTATTATGCTCATGTGTGTTACACAGTCGTGCTAATGTATACAGTATATTGTGAGCACATAATCTCCTCAAAACGTATATGTGTTCCCTATAGGATGATTCTGGTTTATCACAACTTTGGCCACTGTTTCTATTATAAATTGTCATGGGACATTGTCCCTTTGTCGTGGGACACCATGACATAACAAGAAACACAAGCAGTCAGACAATCAGTCAGCTTTTAGACAAGCTAATAGTTTAACCCGATTATCAAAACCAATAAGATCAGTATGGTACTGTAAATGGAAACGAGAAGTCAGTTTATAACTTGTGATAAATGTTTAAACATCAGACCGTTTTATTATTCTTTATCGTGATTTGCTGTGTTGCCAGATAGTCAGCAGTTAACTTGATGTGTATAATATATCTGAGCAGAGTGATGATGACCAAAACTATAATGAAGTGAGTGAGTGAGTAATAAACCCGAATTATGCTTTAAATTAGGCTAACAAGTGATGCCAACTATTTCAGACTATTACTTTGCAAGTTATGTGACTTTTCCTCTTTGTGTTGATCTTCCTCTTATTCATCATTCCAGTCTGTACAGATGTAAAGGGAAAGTGCGGTCAGTCAAGTGTGGCATCCACTTGCCTTTACTGAATTCGTTTGTTAGTCCAAAAGGAGTGTAAGGTAGCCCCGGGGCTCCAGGAGACATCTGTGGGTAGATACAAAAAGCCAGGTTCATGTGCTTTACTCTGTCATTGTAAGAGTGTTACTCTATTGTGGCTTTGTTAACAGACAGGATACCAGCAGCTCCACACTTTCTTTCTCCTCCTACAGTATGTGCTCCATGCATTGATAAAGCAATCTTTATGCTTATTCCTCCCTTAAACATTTTACTGGATGTGTAGATTTCATGTTCATGCCTGGTTTGTTTCCGTTTCTCTTCTTTGACAAAAATGTTCTACATAGTACCAAAGACGGTTTCTCTACCATAACCACTGCAGAATGCTCTGTGGTGCTTCAAAGAACCCTTTTGGCATACATAGACTTAAAAACAGCTTCACTAAGTATCAGGAAAAGGTTATTCTAGGTTGGCACCAGAAAAGAACCATTTGAAAATGTGTATTCAAACAGATTATTTAAAGAAAATACATCATATTTATGTTTTATTTACCAGTTTGTTTGTTGTTTACTTGTTGCCGTAATTTGGAAATGAAATGCACTATGGAGTCATAACAGAGGCACTGCCACATTACAAAACCCTTGAAGCACCCTCCTTTTCTGGGCAGAGACTGCTGGTTTATCATAGAGAAAAACATATACATAGTGTGCATATGTATGTTTAGTGTCTGTCATGTCAGTCGTCCAGGTGCTGTTCCTCCCATGTAGACGTGGGGATTGCACTGTAGGGGTCCATGATGACCTTGGCGCAGCGGATGATCATGGCTACCAGCAGCAGGCAGAGGAAGGCAATGCAGGCCAGAGTCAAGCCCTGGTCCACGTCCACAGAGGCTGGCTCTTCAGTGGCCTCCACCTCCATGACTGCTGTTGTCTGCTGCTGCTGTCCTCAGACACGCCTACACACCCTGCTGCCATCCTGTAAATCTGACTGGAGATACACAGAGAGAGGAAGAAGATACATATGTTGAGTCATGTAGATGACTGAGGGACTAAAGCCATGACATCCTCACAAAAGCCATCACAAAGAGTGTGTCTCAAACTCAAACACACTTTCGTTAGTACACTTCAGTATAGTACACTCTGTATGTGCACTATGTACTTCTTGCATTGTGCACTAATTTTAACAGGGCAGTGTTGCCTCAAATCATGCTCTGTTGTTCAGCACTCACTGGAAGTGACAAAAGCTTTTTCTTTTCTTTTTTTAACCATCTCTTCTTTTTTGTCTTCTTTTAAAACAGATGATGGAGCAATACTGCCAACATTTGACCGCTATCTCCGCCCACAAACTTATGCTACAACATCAATGCTGATTAAAATGTGCCACCATAGCTAGAGGCAAGTTGGGCAGCTAGCGAAAGCTAACGTTAACTAGCAAGCTAACATTAGCATGCATTATTGTACCAAATCATTACAGACCCAACAAACATTACTGATGGCTTCTCAACAGTATTGGTATATAGTGCAATTACCATGTATAACTAACAGGCTCCTTGTTGTCCCCAGCCACCTTGTCAAAAGTTGAGAAATTTGTTATGTAGTGGAAACTATGTCACAAAGATTGCAACCACTGAAGGTAGTGTCCGTCATTCCACACAACATTTGGACTGTTGAGTGCGCCAGTACTACACTGCATTTTCCCATGCAGTGTGAATACACTTGGCATACTTGTGCACTTAAAATATTAAGTGTTTAGTACAGAAGTATGTGATTTGCGACACACTGAAAATGTCCAACATGCCTGAGGCCACATTCACATGAATGTGTATCTCTGGGAATCTGGTGATTTCCCACAAATGTCAAATGTAAAAGGGTCCAATGTATGTAAGAAGAGAGGAAAAACAGCCCTCTGTCATCTCCCTGCTTCTACAACTCTGTTCACCAAAGCAAGAGAAAAAAATCATGCCCTGGTTCTTTATACAAAATGTTATGAATGCCACATTGTATATTTTAGCCTGGGGGTGTGAGGAGATATAGTGGCAATATGAATGTATACAAAGCACGGGGTTATGTGTGACCTTTCAGCACAAGGTGTTTGGTTTGTTTCACTTGATGAACCAAATAATTACAGTGTTATTAGTCTATCACAGTCTAATTACACTCAATACACTGGACCATAAATTCAGAATGAAAGGACCCAGAAAGCTTTGACAGTGTATCAGTTGTTGTTGTTCAGGTCTCAAGCAAGTTACTGTGGTGAGAAGACACATTCATGTACCTTCCTTTGCAGGTTTGTAGTGTTGCATGAAGTTGGATATTGTGGTGGTCATGCCACTGATTTTTGCAGACCTTGCGTACTCCTTTTCTCTTCTGTCTCTCAAAATCAAGGATCCTTCCTTGGTAGGATGAGTCCTTCCAAGAAAGTATCCTCTATAGGCAAGGCAATTGTCTTTCCTAGCATTCAGTGAACACACATTGGAACAGGCTAACAAGTGTCCCCAGATGTGTGTCACTAACCCACAGCAGACTGAGGAGGTTTCAGGGTACTGTAATAATTTTGGCACTTTTGAACAAATGTAAACAGTATTATCAGGGTCACATTTGGGGAGAATATATTTCTGGATTACACTTAAGAGTAAGTGGAGTAATGAAGTAAAGACAGCAGCTGAAAAAAGTGCTAAATTATCATTTACAATACTTACATAGATGCAGAATCAGAAAGTGTTTCTTATTTTATGGGTGTATCACCACACTCTCTGCTACAGTAATATGAATAGTGGATCTGATCTGATGAGCCGAGCTGCTCTGAAACAGCTGACCCGCTGCCTATACATGATACCGATGTGTAATCTTCTGAAATATGTTCACCTCAAAACAAATGAGTGATGCTTTGACCTGCAGGATATTCTAATGTCTTTACTGTGGCTGTTCTCACCACGATTCCCCCGAAAAATACACTAATTGAAGCTGACAGAATGAAAGCAATTATCATGTCGTTATCATGTGAATAGTGGGGGAAGAGGGGAGATGGACGCTCCATCTCTGCTGTAAATGATTTATTTAAAAACTTTTTTGATTTATCTAAATCACATTATTTTAAAAATCTCATTATTTGGCAGTGGACACATTGGAAAGTGTGCATTATGAGGTTTCTGTCAGTATTTTCATGCTTTATGATAAAAATTCCTAGCGATATTAATCCAAATAAATTACATATTTACCTAAATTCTGCCGAGCAAGTGTCATTGAAGAGGCCCCACCTTCACTTCCAGCAAATCGTGTGCAAAGCATTGTGAGGATTTTATACCCGCTGAGGATACACATATGCATCCTTGGAATTTCTCTGAAAGGAGTACTCTGTCCTCGGTGAAATTCGGAAGGATCCTTGACATTGGAACAGTCCTTCCACAGGGTTCGATGACATAGCCTCCTTGAAATTCAGCTGTTTGAGGATCCTTCGTTGACTCTGAGTCATCACATATCGCTGCTTTTTCAGTGGTCTTTCATGTTTACATATTATCCACTAGTTATCCATGTGCTGTTGATATTTCCAGATACTGCAACATCGGTATGTGGTTAGGTTGACAAAAAACATCATGGTTTAGCTCTACATTCATACTGGAGGCGAACACTAGCCTCCTTGGTAAAAGTCCAGGTTTGTTGTATCCATCCACCACCATTCCCATCCACCATATAGGTCCTTTTTAACTCCTTATATTACCTTGCTACTGGCAACGTTTCAAACTGACTCATATCATACTGCCGTGACAGGTGCTGTCCAGCTGACCAATGGCAAATCATAACATTGCGAAAGGTAGCTTTGGCGTCAGTGTCTAATGCTGAAACACTGACAAACTGTTGGTATTTGAGGACTTTGGAATGAGTATAAGGTGATCATCACATCACATCCTTGAATCCAAATGTTGTTATATTTAGACTGCCCCCTCCATGATTGTGACCTAGTAGGTTGCCAGGTTTGTGCACGTTGTACTAGAATTTACCCTATCATGTATCAAAAACAAAACATAACTTCTCAGTATCTAAAAAAAAAAAAAAAAAAAAGTTTAGTTAAAATAAAGTTGCACACTCACGTCATCTTTCCTTCAGTCATGTGTGCCAAGACAAAGTTGACTCTTTTCTTATTGTCAATTAAGCAAGTCTCAATTTGCACTATACCAGACTAACCCAGTTCATTTCCAGCTAGCACCACTGGCATGGCAAACACAATGAGAAGCCAGAGCTTTAAGAGCTACATTTAAATGCCATGAAACTTCAATTAAAAGCCTAGTCCCAGTAAAACGCCTAGTCCCTTTTACTAGCCCTTATAGAAGTTCTTTGGATGTATAAAAGTGGATTGTTGACTACCCACTTGAGCTAACATTAGTTAACTGTTTAGATCACACATACAAATATAAATGTTTGAACTTTTGTCAGTGTGGAGATGCTACACATCCTTAGCCCACTTCATTTTCTCTTACTAAAACCAAGAGCACCAGAGAAGCATGACAAAAAAAAAAAACAGGTGGTGACTCTCTTCCTCTGAAGCTGTGATTAAGTCAGAACATGTGTCCAGTCGTCAATTACCTTGTAAGTTATTTGTATTCATAAAAACGTTTCTAAAAAATTAATCCAAATTATGAACTTTGTTTAAACAAGAGAAAGTGGTGTGGCTATTCGAAGCCTAAGTTTCATACAAGTTCATATTTCCCATCTTTGCTAAGCAACAGTTTTATGTAAAAGGAATGAAAGGCGTGCCCCATATAGATGTCTGCCCCAATTATAAGTTCAGTGATTCAAGCAATAATAATGCAGGCTACTAATTGAAGTTTTATAGTATTGGAATTTGTTAAGTCATAGCAACTCTTAACAAAAGAAACTGAATGTGCATAGAACCCATGTCAAAATTGTTAAACCCAAAGAATGTTTCCATGACAAAGCTTCATCAAACATGGGAATCCCAGAGTCTATAAGTGGTTGGCTAAATCGCACAGAGGTGTGGCTTTATGGCTATTTGTAGTGCGTTGAGCACTTAGGCCCACCGTCATTTACATTTAAAAAACCTATAACACTGTTATGTGAAATTAAAATTTGTGTTTACAGCGTATGTTATGTGTATTTGCAAATCACCATATTTTTGTTTGTATAATTTTAAAATACAAGTTTGTATTAAGTTATTTTGTGGTACATATTTGTGGATGGTCTTCTATGGGTATAAATATCTTTATTCTATTTCAGTGTAACTGCATACAGGCGAATGATCTTAGTTAAGCTTCCAACGATTGGTGACTGGATTGTTTATTCTCACACAGCATGTGTTTTTTTAAAAGGTGGAGTGGAGCCTTATCTCTCGCTCCAATTTCGCTCCAGTCGCTCATGCCCCACCCAGAATGCATCTTTGCACCTGCGCACACCCACACTATTTTCTTTCAAAACTATGGAGTTTACTGTGTACTTCAGAAAAGAAACTGAGAAGAGAAGCAGCGGTATCTTGGAGAACGGTCCCTAACTGCGGGGAGAGGCGAGAGGGCTTCGGAGGTCGGCCGCTTAACCTGGTCCGTCTCCTCTAGATTTTGACTTATTTCCACCCTGCCAGCGGTACCGTGTAGAACGGTCCCTAACTGCGGGGAGAGGGCTTCCCCGGAGAATCGACCAAGCTCATGTTTTATTGGTGCCGTAGCATTATTCCGACCTCTCATTGTTCCGACCTCTCATTAGTCTGACGTCCCATTGTTCCGATATGTGATTATTACTGTAGCCTATTTGTGTACCATAGAGGATCAGCAACGCAACAAAAGTAGGCTACTGGTCAGGATACAAGCGTCATAGAGAGGAGAGAATGAAACACCATAACCTCCTGTTATTAACTCTGGGGTCGGGGTTGTGTGGGGAGCTCTCCGCGGTGCTGAACAGCTCCCGGCGGGCGTATTTCTGCCTTGATGGTGCGCTGCGACCGGCTCTGGGTCAGCTGGGAAAGGCTTGAGGCGAAGTAGG